GAAACGTCCACCAGCAGTGGCATCGACCCAGTGGTATAAATAGTTATCAAAGGTAACAGGATTATAATTTAATACGCCAGACGCGGATTTCGTCTTCCTAAGACTCATCAGTGACGCTCAGATCTCAATAGTTATAAAGCCAAACCAGTACAAAGTTGAAGAGCATTGAGGACCCAACATTCCAAAAAGTTGTGCCAAATACGGCTAAGGTAATCTATTCCTGGGATAAGAAAATCCTTAGATTTACGAAAAATTAAAGTTTTGTCAACAGGAAATTTACTAAAATGACCATATAGTTGATATGCATGTCAACACCGAAGTGCTGACTACTGGGCTGGTGATACCCTCGGGGACGAAACGTCCACCAGCAGTGGCATTTTTTTCTAGTCTAAAATCCACCTAAAATGTACCCTATAAACAAGAAATGATTCTTACGTGAATACAGGTGAAAAAGAGTCTGAATGGGGTTTTCAGAATATAGGAGGATGGGTAATAATAGAGAATAAAGGGTGTACAAATGGTGAATAACAAGCACAAAATTAAAGGGTAGAGGAAAACAGGCCGAAAGAATAGAGAATACTGGTGTGCTAATGTATTCAGAATAGAGAATATGGACAAAACAATTAAAAATAGAGAAATCATGACCCAACCACCACCACCACACACACACATATCAAAATCTTCAGATAAATGAATTCAGAATGGGTTTTCTTGTAATATCTCGTTAATTATCCCGTTTCCTCCACAATCAATATTTTTTTTAATTTTTTTAATATTGTCGATTTCGCTGTTTTCTAATTTCACCTTTTATATACTAGTATTCATTTTGGTCTTGTTTTAATAAATCCTCTTTATCTCGTTTGTGTCTGACAATATTTTCAACTCGAACTATTACTCGGACTTTTGCGCGAATTCTATTATTGTATGTTTTGTTAATATACTGATCGACATTAAAATATACAAAATTAAGAAATAATTCATGGAAGCTATAGATTTGTTGGACATTTACACATGGCCCGGGCCGTGATATACGAATTTTGTCCTGAGCGTTATGGCTTCCATGAATTATTTCGATTCTAATAGGACAAGTACGGTAATTAAAAACTGAAGCGAAGGTAAGAGTGCCGTGTGAATGGCTGTTGTATTTTACCCCCTGTAAGATAACAGCTACAAATTTCAAATAAATCTAAGTCTTACATGAATTATTTCTTAAATAAGCACTAGAAAAACTAAGGAGTGAGCCGCCATGTTGACTTGCTGAAATCCTCAAATGTGCAAATAATGCAACGGAATAGAAAATGAAACAAAACCTACCTCAAAACTCCATTTAATGCAATATTATCCAAATTTAGGGCGTATACGTAACGGAACAGTTGGAAAGCAAGTCCTTGGAAACGTCCGTTGTCGTCAAGCTCTATCAGCAGCAATAGCAGGGGGAATTAATTAGGTGGCGCTACAGTCGTCCGTGACGTCAAAAAGTCCGCCAAATCAATCGGCTAAAAGATTGACGTTTAAAGTATTTATTTCAACTTGTCATGCTTTTATTATAATTGAATTTTAAAATTTGTAGGTTTTGCGACTAAATTAAGTCATACAAACATTATCAAAAATAGCTTGTTATTGCTATTTCTTTATCCTGTCCGTTCTAAAAAATTTCAGCCATCTTTTTTGTTCGCCAAAAACATCGATTTTTCATAACTTGACGTTTGCGTATCCAAATACGGACGAGAACGGTAATAATCTTAAATGAAACCGGGTAAACTATTTCAAATTTCTACACAATTTTGAAGCCATCATTTTTTACTATTATACATCAATTTTGGTGACCACCAGTCATGTCAATTTGTACCTGGTTCTGGCTGCGTTTCTACTTCAAAACAGTAAAGTTCAACTTCTTTTCATTGTACCTGTTTCCAAAGTACTCAAAGTAATCAAAACCCTTTTTGATCCCCTACACAAATTGACGGTGACATTGTTTTCTTCTTCAACATACGTCATATAACGTTTACAAAATATGTGTCAGGGTCATGTGCATAGTGAAAATTTACACATTGGACAAGTGAAACAACAAACAAAGTTCTTCTTTATGGCGTTTGAAACTATAGTATAGTATAGGTCTAAGAAAATTTAATTTATACGGTAGTGTCACCTATATTCGTGGATATAAGCAGTGTTCTCCCCAGGATTTTTGGATAGCACCAGGGTAACGCGTGTGGACTTCTTGGTGAAATATTTCATGCAATCAGTTGTGTCGCGTCGCGTCGCTTAGCTCTAGTTACTGTAGTTTTTATGTCTCTTGTTTTGTTTTAACACTGTGGTACTGTGTTATGTAGACATTGATTCAGAAAATTATTGGTAAAAAAGAAGTAAATAAAAAAACAGTTTGTATACTTTAATATTTTTTTTAAATAAATAAATTATGATTCATAATAAAATATTCATCTGAATTTAAAGTAATTAAATCTTTTATAAAATCCAAAATCAATAAAAATAAAATATCATTCAAAAGAGAACAAAAATGTTCAATTTAAAAAACTTTCTAGTTTTTAGAAAAAAAGTTGTTGTATGAGAAAGGATTCCTGTCATATAAAGAAGATATAAAATTAACAAGAACAATTGCAAATATTGTTTTATTATTTGAACCAAGTTTCTATCTTAAATTTTAATGAAAAGAAATTTTTCATAAATTTTAGAACATTTTGCCATAGATTTCATGTAAATATTAACCTTTCTTGTCTTTGGTGATAATCAAACATAGATACAGACTTAATACTGCCCTAAAATCTAAATTTTTATTTGTCATGAATCATTTAAAAAGAATTCTTAAATCTATAAATTTATCTTTGGTCTATAGATCTATAAGTAACCATATTCAATGTCAACAACTAAGTCTCCCTATTTTCCCGCCTAAATGACAGGAAGTAGATATAAATAGATTTAACATGTGCTTATGGATAAAATTTGCAAGATTACTTCTGTTATTCATTAATTATGGATATAGATATCCAGTTTGAAGGTACAGTCATGCATTTTATTTATAAAATATAATAGATTGCAATTAATTGTAAATAAACTTGAATATTCTACGTGAACTAACTGGGTCATGTGATATGTACAGACAGATACTACAGTTTGAAACCCGACTATCATGCAATATCTATGTCATAATTAAAGATAATATTGGCCATGGTTTAATCAGAGACATATAATACTATAATATAAGAATTGGGAATGTATAGTTGTCCATTATACGTAATGAGCCACCATTATGAAATTCTATCAATAAAATTCTGTAAATAATAAAGTCGACTATCAATAGAGCTTCTCTACTTTACAGAATTTTATTGATAGAATTTCCGATTCCTGTGTTATGATGTACAAAAAATGTACCTATCGGGTCAAGACACTGTTTGTGTACAAAGTATTTGCCGACTCGTCACAGGTCAGTGCTTGGGTGGAGAGTGAAGCCATAAAAAAGTTATCTGTGATCATAAAGTTATGAACTCTTAATTAAAACACAAAAGAATCATGTTACAAGTGTCAATTACATCGATTAAATCCAATTAACAAGGTTAACCTCATAAGGTAAATCGATCACGTGGTGTAAACAATCTGTGTTGAACTGGTTTGAACTGGTCAAATTTCACCTGGAATTTTATACCGCACGGAAAAGATTTAACAAGTCGTTTAAAACTTTACCGATTTACGATTTTTTAACTGAAAATTTTAGCACCACGGAGAAAAATTATACATCGCGGTAAGAACGATACCACCACGGTAAAAAATTATACATCGCGGGCCCGCGGTCCTTTAAAGGCCTGGGGAGAACACTGATATAAGACTATTCAAACGGAATGCGGTAAAACTAATAAATAGCCATTTGTTTTTTATGTTGATAATGTTACCTTAGAACTTCTTTAAAATAATACAAGTTAGTTTGATTCTTTCCGTTTCATAGTTTCTTTGATATGACCTACATTTCTAGTGTAAACAAATCGGCATTGTATGCCAAGTACGTCACCTATTTTCGTGGGAAAAGTTCGTTCTAAAAATAACACAAGAAGAACACAGAGTATGGAAGCCCAGTGGTGAGCATTAAAATGGTAATTTTATACAATAATATTTTTGTACATATTCAGTTCAGTAAAAATAAAAACATTGTTTTTAAAAACCAAGTATTTAATTTTGATTTTTTGGAGACTGAAAACCTTACAAAAATAAAAAATGAAAACACCCAAAAAGATTAAAAAAAAATTTTTTTTAACTTTTAAAAAATTATTAAAATTATAAGTAACAAAATAAAATCAAAAGTTGCTAATAACAATTATTTTTACTTACCATTAATTAAAAAAAATGTGCTTAAAGATACAGTTCAGTCAATTTTTTCCTTTGGAATCATGATTTAATTTCTTTCCACAGAAGATAAAGTTCATATTTACAAAATCAAGCAAATGTTCACAACTCAAAAGTGTTCCAACTGTTAATAAAGAACTGGCAACAGTAAATGTCTTTAAATATAAATAACTGGAAACGGTCAAACAATTATCAAATGTATATCGTTATCATTATTCTTCAGTTTCTTTCTGTTTGCAGGGTAAGCCATGACATGGGCAGTAAAATTTATCTGACCTGCGTAGGACTGAGACATCACAGCAAAATTTAAGATGAGTCCAATGATCACATTGTAGAAATTCACATTTGGCCCATTGTGTGAATACAATGGAGATGCAATCCTGTAACTCCTTTGGCTGCCACATGTTACAAACACAACACAATGTGTTATCATCATCTTGATCATCTTCATCTGTAATTGAACCGTCAGAAACAACTATTTTTTGTAGTCCTGATGGACCTGGCTGTTGTGAATCTTGTTGATTCTGCTTTAATTTCTTGTTTGTGGTTGTTGAACTGGAAGAAGATGATGAACCATTTTGTTTACGTTTAGTTGTTGTTTTCTTAGCATTTTGGTTAATGTTATGTTTTGTTGATTTATTGTTTGTTTAAGACTTGGTCCTTGACTTTGACTGTGCAATGTACTCCTTTATTTCTTGACGTGTCTCTGGTTCTGTAATTGCCTTTCCTGCTACTATCTTGTAGATGGAACGTCTTTCCTGTTTTGGTGGATTTTTCTTGGACAAATTTGTTGATTTTTCAGTGAAGAAAGTTGTATTTTCATCTGGTTTTTCGTCAGTAATTTTTTCAGCTACATAAATCTGAATGTTTTCATTTTCCTGGTTTGATAATATAGGTTCTGTGTCTGCATTTATCTCTGAATCGGACATTAAATTAACTGGTTCAGTTGTTTCATTTTCAATGGCAGGGATATCATCAACTTTGGTATTTTCTTCGGATTGGTTCTGTCTATGAATAGCATCAGAAATAGAAAACAAGGACTGATCTATAGCATCTCTATCTAACGGGTAAATACCAGATTTACGGAAAGCAGACTGCAAATTTGAAGGAGAAAGAGCAGAATTGTAGGATTTGCAGGCAATAGAGCATAAGTTGTATTTGTCAATTACTGCTGAATGGGTACGTTGGAATTTATGACATTCTGAACTGTAGATTCTTGCGAAAGGCCCAAAACAACCAACATCCATGGGCTGAAGAACATGGCTGGTGTGAGGAGGCAAAACATACAAGATAATTTTTTTCTCTACTGCCCAATCAATGATATCTGGTGTTATGTGAGTCCTGTGACCATCATACAGAAGAAGAATATGTTTGTCCTGCATACCAGTGACGTATTTTATGAAATGATTTTCCAGGTAGGACTGAAATATCTCTGAATTGGACCATCCAGTTTCACTGACAGACCCATCAGCACCAGGTGTGGCCCCTTCTAACAACTCCTGTCTCATACGTTTACCAGCGAAAATAAAATAAGGTGGAATTTGATGTCCTAAGGTATTACCACATCCCATTACAGTTGTTGTTTGACCTTTTTCTGAAGACAAGGTAGAGGGTACATACTCTGCAGAGGCCACAACATTTGGTGGTTTATAGTTTGGTTGTAAACCCTTCTCATCAACATTATAGATACTCTGTGGCTTGTCTTTTAGCTGATATTTTTCCATTATACGGTTAAGTTCATCAAAGTACCTGTAAATTGATGCCCTTGAGGTTGCCTTTGCTCTAAGTTCTGAGATGGTTTTAGGTCTCCATACCTTTAGTTCAGGCCATCTACCCATGAAGCTGTAAAACCATCTCAATGACAGCTGCTTGTCGTCTTTTGTCTTTATACCCATGTGAACAGCATACTCAGATCCAAGATCCACCACTTCAGCTCTGGTGTATGCATATCCTACTGCACCCATTTCTTTTATGTGCTGAACCAATCTTGCCTCCTGTTCACAGTCAAACACTGGTGGTGGTCCAGACTTTACGTTGTCTATAGAGATGTGGCCCAATACACGGTCTCTTAGTGTCTGTTCAGGAAGACAATACTTCCTTGCAGCCTTGGCAACACTAAGCTTCTTGTCAGTAACATCCAGATAAGCATTAGTCAGTTTTGTTGGTGAATACGACTTGTATTTCTGCCTTTTAAGTTGAACCTGTAAAATATTAAAAAAATAACACTAATAATTTTGTGATACACAAAACTTTTAACAAAACAAATAAATACACAATACAATAAAATTGTGTATACAAATCCTCTATACTACCCAGTAATCAACGTAATTTGTACTTAATTTACAAGAACTGTGCTCAATAACTCCTATAAGTTCATTTGATAAACCAAAATTCATCTTTTATCGCTAAAATACATCAAAAACATATAAGATTATGACACTGATTGCGTTCCATAGATTTTTTTGGCTGACAGGGAATCTCCATGTTAGTCACGTGATATTGTTCATTAGAAAGTAGAGTAACCAGACGACACTTGGATTTTGGATAATAACTTTGGAATAAAGGTATCGAAGTCGATGGAAATTAGTCAAATTAGTAAATAAGTAAAATCAGCCATTTTGCTAATTAAATAAATAAGTAATAAGTCTTACCTTGCTTGAAACGACGAGATTCATTTTGTATGTTGACGTTGTAGGGATATCCTATAGCAATCAAAACATGCGAATGATGACGTCATAACAATAACACGCATGCGAAATATTTGGGATTTCCGGAAGTCCACGAACTTATGTATCCACGAAATTATGTGACTAGACTGTACTGGAAGCAAATATGACAAATTAATGATGGCCTATGGATAAACAAAAGCACAAAAATAGCAATAGAAAATGCATTGCAAAGAAAATTTCTGGAGGGAAAAACATATGAAAAAAGGAAATGAAGGTCAGTTAATTATATTTATATTTTATAAGTTAAAAACCTTGCTTATTAATTATCTCTTTACTAAGTAAGCTACATTAATAAGAGCAAACACTAGCTTTTCAAGTCAAACAAGAAATTAATTCATAGAGATGTGTTCTTACAAAATTGAATTTATTCAAATGGCAAATTCTTGTCAAATTTTATTTAATCATCATTGATCATTATTAAAGTAAAATGCACAAGATTTGTCATACCAACTTTCATTTCTGAGATTAATATTCAATTATTCAGATAAAATATTCAATTCTTTGTTATTAAATATGTAAAGCAGCAGATACAGCAACCTGAAGAGAAGAAGCCCCATTTTTTTTCAAAGAGTTTACTTTCATAATCTATTAAATACCCTGAGAAATTGGACAAAGGCTACTGTGCTAGCTAATCTAATAGTTGAATTTTACAATAATAATGATTTTTAAATTCAAAATTATGTCACTTTCACTCATAATTTTAAGCATTTTTTTTACAGAATTTTTGTCATTTTTTTGGTAAACTTTTCCTTTTCTGTAGGATATTTTCTAGGCTGTACTGTACTGTTCAACTAAGAAACATAGGCTTGAGTTAAAAGTTTTTTTTTACTTTGAAGAAACTTAATTTTGACTCTTGGTCCCACTATATTAAAATATAAAATATATAAAATGGTCAGTACTATTTTTTTTCAGAAAGATTATTTAAATTGTATACAGTATGTTTTGTTGCATTAAACATTGTAAGAAGTAGTTAAAAAAATCCATTAGGAGTGATCCCATATCCCATTATAAAAATTGCAAACTGAAAGTAAATGTCATCAGCCAGAGCTAATTTATATCAGTTCAGCTAGGTTTCTAGATCTTATTTTTACCATTTTTTTGTCTTTTAATTTTTACCTGTAATCCTTCTCTGAAAAGTAGGGAAGTATCTCTTCTTAATATTATAATAACATAGTTGTTAATCGACTTTCTTTTATTTTCTTCTTGATTTTTGTAAAATAAACTCCTTTTTATTCATTTTGATGTTTTTTTATTTTTGACTGGTGGTATCAAGGGGAGATAACCACATGCACAAATCGGCAAAAAACCACCGCTTCGTGTTGAACATAACTTGACGTTTGCGTATCCAAAACTGTATTGCCTAGATATTCATATCGAGTGTTTGTCTTAATGAGATGCTTTATTAAATTTAAATTCAGCCCATCATTTTTAGTTTCCTCGAAAATATTTAGATTTTTCGATCAGGAGCATGGACAATTTTCACACAAACTTCAAGTTTGAAGATAAAATAAAGAATAAAGGACTTTGAGTTGATGTGTAAGTTTTGACGAGTTAAAACTATGTATATTCAAGATTATTTTGATCAATAAGTTTTTACCATGACAGTGGTATTTTAGTGAGTAAAAGTGAGGTTTGTCTCATCCGTAGTTTTACTGAATTTTCACGGTCACGTGACTCTATTGTTGCTGATAGACTTGGAGTCAAACAGTGACCTGCTTTCCAACTGGGAAACCCTTCAGCTTGAGTGTTTTCATTCGTATGACGTCATGTTATGACATGACGTGAATTCGTCAAGATTATTCATGAAATCTCGCGGAATTTTATTCTATTTTGATTTTATTCATTTTTTTAGCTCTTGTGTATTAATTCTTTTTGTTATGCATTATAATAGGAATAACGGTTCTGCAGTTTCTTTTTCAATTTCAATTTGAACATAACGACATCGACATAGTGTTTGCACATAGGTTACGATACATGTGGATTTACGTGGGAGGTAAATAGTAACAGCCACCAATATGCACATCTCTGAGTCTGCGCAAAGTATAGATATATTGAGAATTTTATCACGGTGTTGTTTACAAAGCGAAAGAAGCACGTCATATTAGAATATTAGTTTAACTCTGTTTCAAGTCAGGCACCTCTTAAATGTTTACAGCAGATCTTGGATTGTTTCTGTTTACTATTTATTCAAAACCTTTTAGATAGATGACTTAACTATGTCAATTGTAGAAGAAAGTGTGGTATTTTGGATGTGGTTTTTTTTTTGTCGTTTGGTTGCAGTTTTGTTGAGACATACGCACATTCCCTTTTATTTATATTGAAGATCAGTTCAGTTGTGTATGAATATGTGCTTTTTATTCTTTAAGTTGTTCAACTGAGTAACACTTCAAATTCCGCTAGAAATTCTACTTCAAAGATTGACTTGGCATTTGATCTCTTTGTGGTTAGAAAACCCAATTTACAAAGTGTTGACATGTCACAGGCGTTTTGTTTAGCACGATAAACTAATAAATATAATATTCCCTCTCTATAAGTAATCGGCAATATTGTTGGATGCAAGTGGGTTTTTTTTTCATTGTAAATAATGCAACCGCCTTTGATATGCGAATCGTAAAAAGTATATAACATTAATTTTACATTTATTTTGTTTATTATTAAAGATTTAAAAAACTCGTCATCATCAATCAATTATATATTCAAGAGATATCAACTACGTTAATTTTCTTTTATTTTCTCTCCTTCTTGAAAAAGCAATTTTCGGCAGACACTGTTTTCGAGAAACAAAGAATATTAATATTTATAAAATTAACTTATCAAAAAACTTTACTTTTTTCAACATATGGTGCACTATGTTTTTAAAGACATCCGATATCCCAGCCGTATCATATTTTTTCTAACCTTGAGAATGTATTCTGCATTTTTATATTTTTGACAAATATCAATATTATTGGAATGAAAATTTTACAAATATCTGATCAATTAACGATTTCTGACATGTATCTTTATACATATCAAAACATGGTTACTAGTTGTTAATATTTATAACAATTCTATGTAAATATTAACCTTCAGAGGCGGATTATGGAGAGGGGATGAGGGGGAGGGGGTGGCAGAGTTCCTAGGTCTCTCTTTTTGGAGCTACATTTATGGTGAATGCAGACTGTTTTGCTGTTCCACTCAAAACGTTGCCTAGTTTTGGGGTCCCGATTCCCCCTTTTTATTTAAATCTGACCTTGTGATATATTGCCCCTGAACTCTGCACCCATTGTATGTATTTTTTAGCATAGGAAAGAGTCTAATTCCAGAGGAGCACCCCAAGAACTCAATTCATTTTACTCGTCCTTCCCCAGGAGTTTATTTTGATGAATTCTATTTAAAATTTAGAGAAAAAAAATCTGTAGTGTTTCACTTCGACTTTACAAACCTGCAATCTCTTTTTTTTTGTTAGAATGTGTTGGTTCGTATCAGGATATTTGTTTTCTGATTTTCTTTTTTCTTTGTACTTTTTTTTTAAAACTTTTTTCGATTTGATAAATTTGTTCGCTTGGTTTTTGCTTCTTTATTTGATACTTTCTTTCAAAATTACAACCACGTTAGTGTGGCTAAGAATTTAAAGAACTAATAAAATTCTACATTTCTTATTTATAGTGACTACCAACTAACTTTCTTTAAAATACATTAACAAATCACACATTTTAAAGTCATGCATTTGATATGATGTGTATTATAATTTTAAAGGCAAGCAATTATATAAAGCATGAGTGATTATTTTCTAAAAACCAAAAGAGAGGCAAAAGATACCAAAGGGACATTCAAACTCATAAGTCGAAAATAAACTGACAACGACATGGCTAAAAAAAAAAGACCAACAGACAAACAATAGTACACAAAACACAACATAGAAAACAAAAAACTGAGCAACACGAACCCCACAAAAATCTGGGGGTGATCTCAGGTGCTCCGGAAGGGTAAGCAGATCCTGCTCCACATGTGGCACCCGTCCAGTTGCTCATGTTAGTACAAACGCAGCAATAAGTCTAATTCAGTAGGTCACATTTGGAACATTTTCGCTATCAACTGTGAAACGGATATTCCAGAACGGTCAACGAACTCGTGATAGCGTCCGTAAAATTTTTCAACTTTACCACTTGGAACTCTTGGTAAAAAAGTTAGATTGGGAGTTACAAAAGTCGAGTTGCGGGTTAAAAAAGTCCAGTTGCGAGTAAAAAAAGTCCAGTTGCGACTAAAGAAAGTCGAGTTGCAAGTTAAAAAATGTCGAGTTGCGAGTTACGAAAGTAGAGTTACGAGTTAAAAAAGAAGATTTCGTTATTAAGAAAGTAGATTTGCGAGTTACAAAAGTCGAGCTGCGAGTAAAGACGGTCAAGTTGCGAGATACAACAGTCGAGTTGCGAGTCACGATAGTAGAGTTGTGTGTTAAAAAAGTCGAGTTGCGAGTTGAAAAAATAGATTTGCGAGTAAAAAAAGAAGATTTCGTTATTAAGAAAGTATATTTTCGAGTTACAAAAGTCGAGCTGCGAGTAAAGACGGTCAAGTTGCGAGTTACAAAAGTCGAGTTGCGAGTCACGATAGTAGAGGTGTGTGTTAAAAAAGTCGAATTGCGAGTTGAAAAAATAGATTTGCGAGTTAAAAAAGTAGATTTGCGAGTTGTAATTGTCGAGTTGCGAGTTAAGAAATCTAAGTCTCAAATATTTAAAATGTAAAAATGATTTATAACGGATAGTCATTTAAATTACCAACCTCATGGAGAAAAACTTGCAAACCTAGTCAATTAGGATTTGAATCGAACGTACTTGCTACGTTCACAACACCATGCATGTCCTAAATAAATGAAATATATTCTGGCCCTCCTCTTATGTAAAGTTTGGTTGTTTCGATGATAACATATGGAAGTTTTATAGACAACCCATTGCCTTTTCCCGCGTACAATTATATTTGAAAATTCAGTACTCAAAAGATAGAGGATTACTTCATGGAGTGCAAGCAATGATTTCCCCAAAACAAGTTTTTAAATGAATATATTAGTTGTAAACAAGAACAAATATGGACCAATTCAAGTACACATTCT